AAGAGCAGAACTTAGGTTTCAGTAAATTCGGCCTAGTTTTTTCTGTGAGCATTTCTAAGGTCTGCCAAGTGGCTAGAAATGTTCTCCGGTTCATTCTGCATCTAACCATGTATGTGTCGATGGAATTCAAGCAGGGGCCGATTTCATCAAGTAATCGCCCCCGTCCTTTATGTGTTTTTTGTAACGAAATTTTAATGTTTCTCTCGTATGAATATAAAAATTATGGAATAACTAATCTCTTAGTACTACACTAGTTTGCTTTTAGAGTCGATTCTTGAAAATAAATTTTTGTCGAAAACTGCAACTTGTACCAGTGATATTAACGAATTTTATTAAAGGTTTGATTTAGTCAGGAGTTGCTGCTATAAATATCAAATATTCTACTATATACTATGTAGTACATAGCACTATCGAAATGGCAAGTATAAGAAAAAATTTCAGTATTTTTTTTTTCAAAGTCAGTCATCCTAAACCTCACCAGTTATATTTTTGACTAATATAATCTAAGACTATTGCTGGCAAAAATCAGAGAAGATTCTATCTTTAGTTTTCGAGAAATCCTTATTGGAATCTCAGCAGGTTTAAGGGTAGTATTTCAAAGGTTTTGTCGCCTTTTCGGCACTAAAGTTCAAAACAAAACATCAGATTTGTGATCTACTTAAAAACTCGATTGAGTGACATATTTAAGAAATGTTTATTGAATAAAAAAATATCATCGAAAATTTTCAGCATGGAATCTCCTTCAAGCATTTTACAATAAAGAGTAAGTTCTTTATTGACATATTCATAATCAGGATTGTTTTCTCAAGTACTAGAATTATGATTTATATATTTTCATATCTTTCTACATAAGCGTTAATTACTTGAAAATATGTGTATTTTCTAGTATAAAATAAATCTTTGTTTCAGTTCGTGTTTTACTGATCAGTTATCGACTGGTTCTCTTAACCACTGAAAATCGGATCGTGATCCTGTTTTCCTGATCAGAACGTCTGAAAGACCCTTTCTTTCTCAACGTTATCTGATTACGAAAAAAGTGAGAATTTTATTAAAAAATCTGAAAAATAGCAATCATTAACAGATGATATATAGAAAAAATTAGTAATAATCGTGTTTTACGCTTTCCTAAGTTACTCTTTGGACAGATGCTATGTTTATGAAATTCGAGTTTAATATCAAATATTGCATGAAAAATTAATGTTTTTGATATTTAAGATAATAAAGATCTGCGTTACACCTTATCCTTGCATCGGCGTGTATTTCACTTTATTATTAGCGGGATCTGCAATGATTTTAACAATTCCAGGTTTCAAATTAGCATCAGACTCTTTTGTACCATCCATTGTTATTTCAACAGTGTAACCTCAAAAAAAAAAAGAATATGGTATTTAATTAGACAAACGATAAATGAGATTTTGTTTACCTTGTGAACGAATTTCAGAGGCTGCCGTTTGCGCATCTTTTCCAACCATATTCTCAAATCTTTGTCGAGTATCTATACATCCTGACATGTTTCTAAAATAAAGAAACAGGACATTTAGAAGAGCAATGTGTTGAACAGGACCATACGCATTTCTTAAAATATTTTTTTTAATTTGTCACTATTCAAATTAATCAGGTATTATTCAATTTAAATGTTTACCTCCCTTTATTGTATGAAATATAACACGTAAAATAACTTTCACTTTTCGATGCAATAAAAACACAAAAAAAATGAAATTATACCTGATCGCGTTGCTATGATTCTTTTATAGATAATTGTTTAGCCGATCACTTTCTCACGTTCTGTTATACTACGGCCACGAAAAACACTGATGTATATTTATTCAGGTAAATGATAATAAAATATGCAGAGTGTAGTGAAGAAATACATCAGTTGATGGATTAAATTGTGAGTGACAATGTTTGAGTAGGCAGTTTTACTTTATTTTTACCTGTTCCATGATATATACACTTATGTATTGATTCAGAAGGAAAACAAAAATGATTCACAGTCTGTTTGCACATCTGCATAAACTTAGTTTTACCTTTTTCTATGGATTTAGACGATATCCACATAATACGTAATTACTGTTTTCTATTTTTTTACACCTTACATTCCTCAAGATAATCCGGTGTTATTATTTGTCGATCTGCTCCCCCTGATTACCCACCTAATTAAACGGGTTTTTTCCATTTTCTCCACTTCCAAATCAAATAACGGATGGCGCATAATAAACGGGACACTTTTGTTTTTTTTTCCTAAGGCACTTCCGAATGATCTAAAAATCTGGTTCTAGTCTCATTCGATAGAGAATTGAATTCTCTACAGAACCTGCTTTTTGAATCTCTGATAGCATTTTTCTTGTTTGAGCACCACTCAAAATATT